GTGGCAAACAGGCGCGGATCCAGACCCAAATTAAGGGGGGGCCATACAAAATAATGGAAGGTACAGGGTGTCTGGTTATAATTTGACACCCCACCTTCTAGGTAGATCATAGGTGTAAACACAAAAGTGGAGCAATTTTAGCTAAATTATTGTCGGAAATTTGAGATTTTATGTACTTTCAACTTTTTTCAAATAGAATGCCCTATATTTGACTGTATACCTATTCTTGAAGAGCACAATTTTCCGATTCCAAAAATATATAGTTTCTCTATATTTAGTTGAGCCGTCTCCACCATATTTGGCTTCAAAAGTTTCAAAAATACTATCAGAGAAACCAAGTGCCTTAAATTTTACCTAAAGCTTTCCTCAGAATGGTTCACGAAATCGTCAGTAGGATAGTATTTTTCCAATTTTTAGAGCCAAATATGTTGAAGGCAGCTCAAACAAATATGGACAAACTATACAGGGTGTCCCACGGTGGATGGCGTATTAGACGTTTATGGAGAACTAAAAAGCGGATCATATTGAAAATTTGGCAACCGGGATAAACGACCATAATCTACACTTTAAAAATACTTTTGTTTATGCGGTGTTGCCGCTTCTACTCTTAATCAGTGGCAACATCGCTATTTTAAATGGAACACCCTGTATGTGATTGCATATTTGGATTCTACGTAAAATTCTGAACAGATTTCATGTGATATACCCTATACCTAAGTTCAACTATTTCGGAAATATTGACAGTTGAAAATTGAGTTTTTGCAACTTTGACAGGTTGTAAAACCTAAACGGTTAATTTTAGAGGAACACCGATTTAACATTCCTATCTTAAATTTTCATAAACTATCATTTGACACCAACTCTGAATTTAACCGGAGATTAAATTTAATTGGAATTTTTAATCATGGATTAAATTCAAAGTTGGTGTCAAATTATAGTTTATAAAAATCTAAGATAGGAATGTAAAATCGGTTTTCCTCTAAAATTAACCGTTCAGGTTTTACAGCCTGTCAAAGTTGCAAAAAGTCAATTTTGAACTGTCATTATTTCCAAAACAGTTGAACTTAGGTATAGGGTATATAACATGAAATCTGCTCAGAATTTTACGTAGAATCGAAATATGCAATCACATACAGGTTGTTCCATTTAAAATAGCGATGTTGCCATTAGTATAGAGTAGAAGCGGCAACACCGCATAAACAAAAATATTTTTAAAGTGTAGATTATGGTCGTTTATCCCGGTTGCCAAATTTTCAAAATGATCCGCTTTTTAGTTCTCCATAAACATCTAATACACCATCCACCGTGGGACACCCTGTATATTAGAAGCAAATATAGGGCATTTCAGTTAAAAAAGTTGAAAGTACAGAAAATTTCAAATTTGTTACAATAAACTTTTGTTTTTGACGAATGGCACATTTTGAACAAAAAAAATTTATACAACATGGGGGTTTAAACTCAACCATTTTTAAGAAAAAAGCCTTTGAAGTGTTGACATTTTTTGACTTATATTTTGAAGATAATGAAAATTTTAATCATTATGGGATGTAAAAAAAATTAGTTTATTCAATTATTAAGAAATCATGCATTTTTAGTCAACATCAATAACAAAAAATTGAAAAAACAACATAAAAATTTCATCTGTAAATAGGTGTCTAAACATCTGGCAACATAGCACAATAAAGAATAGGGCGGTTACACACGGACGTGGATGTCTTAATACATATAATGTGCCTACATAAACGTGCAAACAACAACGTGCATGGCGCTTTTGTACAGACGCTCGCACAAAACTGCAGTCTTGCTATTTTTGCTACAGTATTCCGAGTGTTCATACAAAATTGCACATTCAAAAACGCGACGGTATTTTGCATACACATTGATGTTTTTGTTTGCACGTTCATGTATGTGCGTACATGTTTTCAGACATCCACATCCGTGTGTAACCGCCTATTGGTGGTTAAACGTTGAACCTTGGTTGAACTGAATAAATTGATTCTTGATTAGTCTTGTCTAGTTGGGAAACGCGCGTAATTCAAATTCATTCTTTTTTGAAAATAATATAAACATTTTATTATCGTCGAATATGCAGATACTTATTTAGCCAGAATCGTTGCAAAATGCTCATTTAGCCGCCAAAATTTAGAGGGAAACTAGGGAAAGATTCTCCAAAAGAAAAGCACCCACCTGATGAAAGAACATTGTGCCTGTTTCACAAAGAATGCGTGATACAGGAAGTGTGAGTGTCCAAAATTTGCGTGTTGACTTTAGCGTTTTGAGTACCTTTTAACAAAAATTAATATTTTCATAATAAGGATTTGGCAAATAAGTAGCTGAGTAAGTATTATTTGATTTTTCTCTTGAATGTTTAGTGCAAAAATATCATTGAATGCAATTCACAACTTAATAAAACGGCACATTTTTTATTTTCACTAGAAAAGTGATAAAAATGCAAGTTATTATTTACATTATTTGAAAGCCAATAACAAGCCAAAACGTAAACAGATGGAATAAATTAACTCCTTACAAAAAAAAAACCTTTTAAATTTACCAGTTTTATTTACATTTATATCCTGGCAGAGATAATACCTGTACATACAATGTTGTCACATTGTTAATATTTTCCTAAATTTAAATTCTGCGATAACTCTGAAAATACTGACAATTGACCCATGGTTGATAGGACAGTTTTAGCTTGAAATGGGCCATATTATCTCACGTTAAAATATTTGTACTCATACCTGATACACCCTGTATACGGGCCCTGGTAAACCCGGAAAAAATGGTTGATTTAATTTTGATTTTTAAAATTATTTTTTCTTATCTAGGGGGGCCATGGCCCCTCCCTGGATCCGCGCCTGGTGGCAAATGAATCCGAAAACCCACCTGTTTTACACAGCCGTCCTTAGGACACGAAGAGCTTTAGGTAAGTAATGTAAAAGTGAGAGATCCATTCCTTCAAACTGATTATTGATTATTGGAAAATAGAAGCAATAAAGCATGGGAGTTGATTGATTATTTATTTAAAAAGACGAAGACACAAAAACAAACAAAAACTAACTAACCTAAACACATTAGCAAATAACGGAAAGAACTCTGGAAAGAAATTTGAGTATTTGAGCTATCTTGGTTCAGGTGTATTAAAACAAGATTGGTCCTAGTCCTAGCACTGAGCCTTGTGACACAGAAAAGACAGGGATTTTTACTTTAGATTCTTACTCGGATTCTTATTATCTTGTGGCTGGTTTATACAACATTTGCATAGTCGTAATCATAATCATAGTCTTAGTCTTAGTCTTAATCATAATCACAATTTTAGAAGGCGTTTATACAATGTCATAAGCATAAAATAAAATCAACTTTAACCCGACTTTTTGTAGGGAGAGTTTGTTTACTTTTTGCGAATCGAACTCCTGTATTTACTTTTAATACTTTTTCAAAGTTTCACAAAGGGTGGAAATTAAAATTCTGCAAAGGAAACCCATACAAGTGATAGGTCTGTCCTATTTATTTTTGAGTTTTGCGCCACATTATTCAAAGACATGTGGACGCTTGATGGAGACCAATTTTTTGGATACTCTAGAATGATTCAAGATCAATTTAAATACACACAGATATAAAATAGCAGATTTGAATTGTTTTTTTCTGTAACAGCTGATAATGGCGCTTGCGCAGTTTGGATCTCGTCTTAGTCACAATCATTAAAGTTAAAAGTTGCCAACTTTGAAGCTGGATTTATATGGCTGGTTTATACAACATTTGCATAGTCGTAATCATAATCATAGTCTTAGTCTTAGTCTTAATCATAATCACAATTTTAGAAGGCGTTTATACAATGTCATAAGCATAAAATAAAATCAACTCTAACCCGACTTTTTGTAGGGAGAATTTGTTTACTTTTTGCGAATCGAACTCGTCTATTCACTTTTAATACTTTTTCAAAGTTTCTAAAAGTGTGGAAATTAAAATTCTGCGAAAGAAAACCATACAAGTGATAGGTCTGTCCTATTTATTTTTGAGTTTTGCTAATAAACAACTTCAACAAACGCAAACCATACACAAAGAAGGTGGAAAGTGAGTCCTATCAATAAAAAAAGCCAGAAGGAAGGGCATTTTGCCACATTATACAAAGACATGTAGAAGCTTGATGGAGACCCTTTTTTTTAAATACTCTAGAATGACTCAAGATCAATTTAAATACAAACAGACTAAAATAGCAGATTTGAATTGTTTTCCTCTGTATCAGCTGATAATGGCGCTTGCGCAGTTTGGATCTCGTCTTAGTCATAATCATAAAAGTTAAAAGTTGCCAACTTTGAGTTATGCTTATGCTTATGCTTATGATTATGATTTGTGTATAAACGGTTCCATAAGAAAATATTATTTTAACTCTTATGACTAAGACTATGATTATGATTACGACTATGCAAATGTTGTATAAACCAGCCAATAGTGTCAGTATCAGTAACAGTAGCAGTAACAGTAAAATATTAAAACACGGCCTGCCGTAAAGCCATTTATAATTCACTTAACAAACTTAACAGTAAAACTTAAGAAATGGTTATTTTCATATCTGTTCTTAAGTTTTAAGTTTTACTGTTACTGTTACTGTTACTGATACTGACACTATAAATCCAGCTTGAGTTATGCTTATGCTTATGATTATGATTTGTGTATAAACGGTTCCATAAGAAAATATTATTTTAACTCTTATGACTAAGACTATGATTATGATTACGACTATGCAAATGTTGTATAAACCAGCCATTTATTCAATTTGCTTTAATGCACAATTCACAATTTTTTCAATGCATTACTTGTTGATAAGATAAGCAAGGCAAGCTCAAGGACCAGCAAGAGATAAGCTAAGGGTAGATATTAATTACCTGGGCTTACTAGCTCTTGATAAGTGCTGATATGGAACGATAAACGATAATAAAGAAAAGGACAATCAAATTCTTTTAATTGGTTTCCTGCAAAGATTTCCTGGAACAACTTACCAAGATATCGTCCTTCTTTTATTGTTCAATTCAATTTGACTTTCGGTAAATCCCCTGGTGAAAAGAAATGTCCACCTTCAAAGCTGCACATCATATTTTCCTTTTCCCATGGTTTCAGTGAGGCCCTGCGCCATTCAAGCAACTAAACACTTGTTAACAAATAAATCAAAACAAAACGGTTTTTCTAATTTTGTGAAATCTATTTTTGGAACATTCAGAAATTATTATAAATGACAGAGAGCTGATTGCTCAATAGTGCATAGATTTAACTCCTGAATCTGAATAATAAAAGCGGAAAGGAAAGAACACCACGACATCGGTAAAAAATAAAAACAAAAATCAAATCTCCTAGACAAATGTCAAAATATCCTTATCTCAACCTCACTTTTGTTTTGTTACTGAGTATATTGCGTCTTTTTTTGTCAAACTGTACAGGAAGCAGATAGAAAGCTTTGAGTGGTATAAATAAAAGATTAGATTGAAGTTGAAATACAGAATACAGCAGAGGGCGCTCAGATCGCAAAAAACGGTTGCAGGCGGTGCAGCATTCCTAGCTCAGCAAAATTAGTTTCCAAACTCGACAAAATCCAACACTCCAACGGGATTGCTCAAGCCAATAAGGCGTACGTTCGCTACTTCTCAAGTCAGCAGCGGGTCTGCGGTTGACGTCACCAGTACAAACAGTTGATAGTGGTGACGTCACCCGCAGACCAACAGCTGATAGTGGTGAAGTCAACCGCAGACTTCGATGGATTGCCTGCGATTCAAGCTATGCTTTTGAGTATTTTTTTCCGATTCCAAATGTAGAAAAAGTGATTTTAACGCTTACGAATTCGTATTTTGACCTTAAGTGTTTAAAACTCCGATAATGCATTTTACGCCAAGAGTTGAGGTCTGCGGCTGACGTCACAAATAGCGGAGAGTTGTCGCGTAGACATCGCAGACACTGGTGGCCTGCGGCGGGATACTCAATCTTTAGTTCATTGGCCGCAACCTATCGTCCCGACTATAGGTCTGTTTCTGCAGAAATCACAAACCAGTCAGAGTGAATTTCATTGGTCGAAACTAGTTTTCTGACTGTTTCTGACTGTTTTCAACCAATGAAATTCGCTCTGACTGGTTTATGATTTCTGCAGAAACAGACCTTATATATCGCCGAAAAAGCTATTCTCAATTTATTCGGTAGCGACCATCGGTCACCATCGACCGACTCGATACCGTTTCAAGATGTTATTACTCGGTTGCTTAGAGCCGTTTTACACGGCAAAGTTTCTTCACGAAATTACTTACGAAATTATTGCCGAAATATTTCGTAAGTCAACTTTTCCTGTTTTACACGACAAGAAAAACTTACGAAATATTTCACGAATAAACTTTAGAAAATGTTCTATAGTTTTTGTGGGCGTGGCCGAAAATATGCGTGAGTTTCGGCGCACACTAAAAGGCAGTTTCTTTCGTGGACCCCATGAATGCTTCATTGAATTTCTTATGTAATAGATAAGAATAGACTGCTCATCGGTGAAAAAAGTAATGCACCCAAAAACAGCTGGGCAAATAAAAAAAAAAGCAAACTTTATTTATGGAAGGAAAAAACAAATTCAACGTTATGAAACTGTAGGAGGGTACAAAGATTCAACAACAATTAGAAAACGGAAGTTTTATTTGTTTTGGTTTATCAAAGTATGAGGTTATGTTTTGATATTATTGATGGCAAAACGTAACTGCGCCTGCGTATGACTAATATTTTCACGAAACTTTTGCTAGACTTTTATTTGCCGTGTCAAAAACAGGAAAAAGCGAAACCAAGAATAGTAAACTTACGAAATATTTCGGCAATAATTTCGTGAATAATTTCGTGAAGAAACTTTGCCGTGTAAAACGGCTCTTAGGAGGTAAATGGACAAAAGTCAAAAGGCAAGCCGGGCAAGCTCTACGGCGGGATTCTCAACCTCTAGTCGCAACCTATCGTCCCGATTATCCGCCGGTCGGTTTCTCAATAGCGAGTCACCTCCAAGAGTCACCTCCAGTTTGGTTTTAACTCCAGGGTAAACATGTCCAGTTGCGATGTTTACGCTGCCCAGGGACTCCGTGTCATGTAGAATTCTACATATCGACAGGATTTTATAGGCTCGGCCCGTTACCTCGGCACACTGTACGCCATTCGATAATTTCGATATGTCGAATTCTACATGTCACGGAGTCCCACCACAGGAGTTATGCTTAACCCGGGGGTAACTTACTATTGAGAAACCGGCCCATAGACCGACTCGATACCGCTTCAAACTGTCATAAGTTACGTTCACCAGAACCAAAACGGATTGTAAACAGTTTACAAATACCAACCGAATACGTTGGGTAAACTCTTGGTTCTGCTGAACGATTCATCTTTTCAATTATAGAACGTCACCCTTTGATAGCGAATTCCCTTAGTAGAACCAGTGCAGAAAAAAATAACCTTCATCTCTTTCTTATACAAGCGGTTAGAAAAAGACACGAATACACTCAGTGCGCACTAAACCTTAGACGATTTCGCCACGTTTTGGTTAGTAGGTGAGTTGGTTAACCGCTAGGTAGGCTCTTCGTCACAACAGTGACGTCGCATACCATTTTCAGCCAAAATCGGCCGGTTAGTCAAATGTCACGTGTATGACGTGATGATGATGGTATGCTTGAAAAAATAAAAATAAACAAACTACTAAATACTTTTTATTGTTGGAAATTAAAATTGGGAATGGTGAAAATTAATTGTGTTTATTTCTTGTGTTTAATTTTAAAGATAAACAAAAAAGTGTGGTTAAATTACTCCAAGTTAGAAAGAGATAGCAAGCTACCAATTCAAATAACCGTGCTTCAAGCTCGGTACCCAATTTGACATACCAAAATAGATACCAAAGTTATCGTGACGTCATTGTTTTTCGTGCCGAAATTGGTTGGTACATTTTTAACCAACCAAAGAGGGTTACCAAAACGTGGCGAAATCGTCTCTTATTACCTTCCAATGGAATTCGCTATTCGCTATGAATGTCATGTCACCACAGTTGAGTTCGAAATGGGACTTTAGTGCGGTGTTCGTTGTACGTGTAGTGCAGGGTTATATCAGGGGGCGGATTACGAACTCTCGATTCGAACCGAAACCGCCATGAATTTCGAACGCATTCTGATGCATTTGCATGGAGTGCGTTCGAAATCCATGGCGGTTTCGGTTCGAATCGAGAGTTCGTAATCCGCCCCCAGGTGTTGAAGGTTTAGGGAGGATTTTCATGCATCGGTTTCAAAGTCTTCTATTTTGACATATTTATATACGATTATGTCAGAATAGAATGTTAAACGAACATATTTCGTCGGAAAAACGGATGCATGAAAATCCTCCCATAAAGCCTAGTACTCATAACTGCGAAATTCGCATTTTTTTGACAATGCTTCGACAATTTGACGTTTGATACATGCATCAAACGTCAAATTGTCAACGCAATGTCAAAAAAATCCGAATTCCGCAGTTATGAGTACTAGGCTTAAGCCTAGTACTCATAACTGCGGAATTCGGATTTTTTTGACATTGCTTCGACAATTTGACGTTTGATACACGCATAAAACGTCAAATTTTCAACGCAATGTCAAAAAAATGCGAATTTCGCAGTTATGAGTACTAGGCTTCAATCGGCGGTATAAAGCCGGAGTCTCATGCATCCGTTTTCCGACGTCCGCTGTCCGAAAAACCTTCTATTCTGACATATTTTCATACGATTATGTCAGAATGGAAGGTTTTTCGGACATTGGACGTCGTATTTTTACATACATACAAAAACAGGGGGTGTTTCATTTGAAAAACAGTTCACTCCATGGCGTAACTCTTTGGTTTTTGGTTCAAATGATTTTTTTGTACCATTTTTGAATTCTCTAGAAAAAAATATGCGAATTGGCTATTTTGAATTTTTTCAATACTACAGGAACAGGGAAGGTAAAAAATAAACCCCTGTTGGCCTGTTCAGCATCGTTGGATGACCCTGTACATCTCGCAGTCTTCTTTGTGTATATATTTTAGAGCAGAATTGCAAAGATATTCAACAAGTGGTAGATAATTTATTTTGAGTGCTTGAGAAGAAAGCCTTAGAGCCGTTTTACACGGCAAAGTTTCTTCACGATATTACTCACGAAATTATTGTCGAAATATTTCGTAAGTTTATTATTCTTGTTTCGCTTGTTAGGGGGGCGGGTGGGAATCGCGCTCACCTAAGCCAAAACTCTTTTTTTGTGACTTATTTTCATCAGAGGACTTTGGAAATTTATTTGAGTAAATAATATTTATTGTTTTATCTTTCAGTCAAAAAATCTTGTCTGAAATTAATTTAATTTGCTAGATACAACAAAAAAATGTAATAGGTGCTTTGAGCGCAATTGCCCACACCAGTGGGGTAATAGCGATCAATAATTTTCAGGTAGGTTCTTAATATACAAATTAAAGCTACAGCTACTAATATTGAAATATTTATTAAAAAAATCGACAAAATAGCCAATAAACTCAAAATAAACATAAAATAAACTCAGAATGAACTCAAAATAAACTCAACGCGATACGAAAATCGGCGGCCATCATTGCTTCTGGAGACCATTAGGCATTCCAGGTCACGTGACTTTTGACAGATCCGCCATTAGCTGAGGGGCCAACAAAGCCTATAGATCATTGTTTACAATGTTTTTTGAGTTTTTGCTTTGGAATTTTTGCGTTTTTTGATTTATTCAATAAATTTTAAGTTGTTTTTAGTTTTTGTGAATGAATGGAATGAATGAATGAATCTTTATTTACAGACATGCCACTTTACATTTCAATTCAACAATAGTAAACAGTAAACAATTTATTAACAAAAATAATGCTTAAGAATCTAAATTGTTTAAAAAATAAAAAAGTTTGATACTATAACAACCTTACAAATAAACTTTAGCAAAATAAATTTGTGGTAGAATGACTCCTCAAACGTTTTGACTGTTCTGATCGGTGCCCAGATCTGGCATGTAGCTTAGCTTACTGGCTTGTTCATTCTGGGCTTCTATCAATCATCGTAGTATATCCTAAATTTGTACTGTGGACCCAATCCGGATTGTTTGTATCCTTAAATTCTGTTGGACTACCTAAAAGGTATTAAAAGTTACCTATATACTTGTAGAAACATAAACAACTTTTTTGATGTACCGAGATGAATTTTTTTTTTAAATTTTAACAAGACAGTCATAATACTTACCATTAACAAAATGTTTTGAACAAATACGAGCATTTTTCAGAAACGATTCAGTTAATCTCTCCTTTTGAGGCATTTAATC